TTTTGTTTCATCACACTTCTTTGCTCTTACTTGCTCTACTCTTTGTTTCGTGAGTCTGCTCTAAGCAGAAATAGAGCAACTTAGAGCATGATTATCTGCTCTGACTATTTGTGTAGACTAACATAGAGCAAAATAATTATTTTGACAGGTCTGTCTGCCAAGTTTTTATATAAGAAATTGACTATTGCAAGGATTCGTGGAGAAAATAAAAATGAAAAGAATGCGACTGGAAAACGGAAGTGGACACATCATTGTGACCATAGAATGTTCGCCGCGAACAGAAAATAACTTGATGAAGGGTAAATACACTACATGATTTAGACTTCAGCGAAATTCACTAAACTTATTTTAAGACCCGGAGCTCCGTACACAGTTGTTTTCCCAGTCTTTAACGGCAGAGGTCAGTGGACCTTTTCAGCAATGACCACTAGAGGAAGATTTTCTTCCTATTGCCAATAGAAATAACTCCATCAGTTATAAGCATCGTTTAGAAGAATTGATAGAAGGGTCGCCACAAATGGAAAATGAGTATCTTGATCACTCTGAAGACCTTTTCTTAGATAAAGAAGAGAATTCCAACACCCAGAAGGCAGTTTGGTTGAAAAGCACGCTCCTTATAGAAACTTATAAAGTTACAATAGATACATTAAGACGATCTCCAATATCTCGAATCGAGCAGGCTTCATGCCTCGAAAACCAAAGAAATAATGCCAAATGCATTTTGGCACTATACGAGGTGTGTTCAGAAAGTATCGCGAATTTTGAATTTTCACGGGTTGCGTATAATCGAATTTCGATTTTTTTGTGGCGTTATGTTGGTACTCATGTCTGTCACTCGTACACTTTAATTTCATCCAGCTTTTGGAACTCTTCTGAACTTCAAAATTTATTACTAAGCATCTCTCCTCACACGGAAATGCATCATAAACTTCTCATCTGTGTACTTTGGAATTACTTCTTTGAAGTAAGTTTCGATAAAATTTGCTGTTATTCCTCAAAGCTTCAAGTACCATCAAATCATCGTCCTCACCAGCTTCGGAGCTCTCCATTACGGATGAGGGTAAAAGCGAATTTTCTGAGTCTGAAGAATCTAGATATTCTTCCATGATTTCGGTGATAATATATTTATCCATTTTTTATTTTGCAAAAATTGTAAATGCACACAAATCCATAAATCTAAAACATTTGATATTTGTCAAATGAAAATTCAAACATTCAACTGTTTTGAGAATTTCTACCTAGAAAGTGTTTCATGAGACTTCTGCTCCGAGTTGCTCTAACTTACTCTTCAGTTTTTTGACAGCTGCTCTATTCTACTCTCTTTTCTGTCTCAATAAACAAGCCTAAAATAGTTCGTAAACTTTAGTGATATATGTGATATACACACATAATTGCATTAAGAAATATATATACAGACTAATTAGTATTTTTAATAAATATATCTACAATAAATCCCGGATATTTTAATTAATAATTGATTGTCACTTTTTCTACAATTAAACGATTTAGAAATGTTTCATCACTGAACATAATTGTGATGAGTCGTAAATTGGCCGCACCCACTCAACCACTGACTTACACAACACCGTTATTATGTTAGTAACTTTTTTTTGCAATCTTCTTCTTCTAGAATTAAGAAAAAAACGAAAATCACAAGAAACTGCAGAATTATATAGATACGTATGTACGAGTGTATATATAATAGTACATATTCACGGCCAAACAGAGAGTTCAAGGTGATGAATTATGCGCCGCACAACAAAGCGCCGCGGGAGCCAATAGATGTTTGAGTTTAAATATTCCAAACCTATTTGTATGCGTTGTCAGCAAATCAATTTCCTGAATTCAAACAATTTATCAAACAACAATAAATTATTGCCCAACCAGCGATGCCGAACGCCGCCGCACCTGTATTGCATTTGAACGCCCAGGTGGAGTGCCCTCTCCTTGCTTCACTTGGTGTCCCAAATTGGCGCTAAAAAGAAGCAATTGACGTAATATTGTTGTTGTTTCGGATATAATCGTGTTAGCTGTGTCTAAGTGAATTAAGAAGAAGAAGAAAACGGCAATATCTTCGGTGGTTTCTATTGAAAATGTCTGTGGATTTTTATAATTAATTTTTTAAATTATATTTTTTATTCCAATAATATTGGATGAGTGCATAAGTTCGTGCCCGATTTCAAGTGCAAACTAATAAAATTGAAATTTTTTTAAGAAAGCGCGTTTATTAATCAATTATGTATTCGCCATCATGTTCGGCAATCCACTCCCAACGTTCAACCAATTTACGGATGCCTGATTCATAGAAATCGCGCGGTTTCTCGTTGAAAAAGGTGTCAAGGTGGGTTTTGACATCTTCCACATTTTTAAATTTTTTTCCATTCAAATTGTTCTGCAGCGATCGAAACAAATGATAATCATAAGGTGCAATATCGGGTGAAAATGGGGGATGCGGCATGATTTCCCAATTCATCTCCTTCAGTTTTCGGTTTTGCAACATGTGGCCTGGCGTTGCCATTGCGATTGGCCAAAATCGAAAGTTTTTCATCAATTGCAGTGATCGTTTCTCCAGCTGGCAAGAGCTCAAAATAGATCACGCCTCGGATATCCCACCAAATGCACAGCAGTACCTTCATCGGATGCAATCCACCTCTCGACATCGGTTCCGCCCCTTCGTGTGCCTGTTTCCATGTTCTTTTGCGTTGAACATTGTTGTACAGGATCCATTTTTCATCACCAGTCACGTGCCGATCCAAAAAAGGTTCGTTTTTGATCCGTCGAAGCAGAGAAATTGCTGTTGACATACGGTCCACTTTGTTTTTTTCACTCAACTGATGTGGCACCCATGTATCGAGCTTCAAAGTGTACCCAACCTTTTTTAAACGACAAAACGCAGTTGATTTGTTGACGTTCAATTCACTGGCAACCTTTTCCGTCGAAATACGTGAGTTATTCGCAACTAAAGTCCTTAGAACATCGTCATCAAGCTCAGAAGGCCGTCCACTGCGAGGTTGATCTTCGAGGTTAAAATCTCCAGAACGAAATTTCGCGAAAAATTGCTTTACTGTGCGGAGTGCTGGAGCACGGTCCAAATAAACTTCGCGAATATCTTTAGTTGCCGCGCCTACTGTTTTTCCTTTGCGGAATTCGTATAACATAATATGACGCATGCGTCTTTTAACTAAGCAACTCAAAACAAAATGAAGTTATTTTATGCTTGATTTACAGTTCGGACTGTCACCTTTCCAACGATATATAATATGTATATATTTCTTTCACGAGCGCCATTCTCAAACGATTCGAACGGCATCCAGTGGAATCGGGCACGAACTTATGCACTCAGCCAATATTTAACACACTTTTCAATATTTTTTCAATCCTAATCCTACTATAACAATTCATGAATAAAGCATGCAAACTTATAAGAAGTTACTAAGACCGTTGAAACTCTTGTTGATCTCTTCAGTTATAATTTTGTTTCACCTTTCACCCCAGAGATTATACATCAGTCCATATAAAATCTTGCAATTCTTAGAAATATCGATGAATAAGACCTACAGAAGTGAGATAATATGACACATGAGCTAGAGGTCCTCCTCATTCTTTGTGTCCAATAAACCTTTCGTGAATTATCGTCAAATATCTCTGAAGCCCATAGAGATGTTAAGGAAACCGACGCTATCTACAACGACTCCAGTTGATGGTTCACTCAATTCGCATCCACAAACTAGACCTTCTTGGTTTCGAGTAAGATTTCTGCTATGGGTTTACTGGTATCTCAGTAATAGAATACAGCGTGTGCTATATAAAGACACTTCATCCCAACGATTTCATATCTCATTAGGAGTTTCTCAAGGTAGCCACCTCGGTCCGTTTATATTTTTGATTATTTTTAAGTGATATATCTTCTCCGACTATGTAAAACTTTTTAAAAGGGCGCTGCATTTCGAGGAAGAAAAAAATACAAAAAATTCAAATTTAATGGGGAATGTTTATTATCATTCGCAAGAACAATCATTGGTATTTATTGTTTGAAGATTATCTCTTTCGAACGTTGGTCGCGCATACGTCTCAGATGGTCCATCTATTAAGTACAATTTTCGATTACTCCTTCGAGCATTCCGACTGGTAACTGATCGAAGCGGTATTGTCCGCAGAGACTTTAGACCTCACATATCCCCACAGCAAAAGTTTAACGGTGTGATATCACACGATCTTGGTGGCCAATGGACGACCCCAAGACGTGAAATCTGCTCATCGAAGTGTTCTCTCAATAAATCCATTGATTAATGCGATGTTTGAGAAGTGGCGTAGTCTTATTGAAACCAATTGTCGCCGAGATTGCGAACTTAAATTTTAGGTACCAATGAGCAGATTGTCATAGCGCAATAATGGTCGCCATAGATGGTTTCGTTCTCTCCGACATCATTTTTAAAAAAACCCGTTTTTTTTTATCCTGGATGAAATCGCATCTCTTGAATCTCTTCAGATTGCTCTTCATTCCAAATGTGACAATTTTTCTAGTTTACGTTCCCATTGAGCCAGAAATGAGCCTCAACGCTGCACAAAATTTGGCTCAAAAAGGATCTTCTTGGAACTTTTCAAGAGCCCACTGAGCGTTCGTTAGCCGCGTGGACATACCTTTTATGGAGGAGAGATGTTGCTTTCATAAAGTCCCTATGCTGAATGTCCGTTACTAGATCGAGTTCTTAGTTACGACAACAGTATGCTGCGATCTTAAAATTGGCACTAAGTCACATCTTTACCTAGGATTCTCGGGCATTTTAACTGATGGCTCTTCAAGCTAACTTTCAAAATGATATTACCAATCGGATTCCAATGCCTTATTGTTATGCCCCTCTCAGAGACAATCAGAATTCTGGCTTGGTTGAAGTTATCACTTTTGCCTATTCTTGGAAGTCCGTATTCAAATACAAGAAATATCATTTTATTATTTATTATTTATTTAGGTACATGTAAGCAGTTATTAATATAAAGAACATCCTAAGTCCAACTAATTATTTTATAGCAACTTTTTAGCACCAATTCTTTTACTATAAAAATTCACACGTAAAATCTTAATATTTTTGTAGAAGTACACATTCATACATAGAAACACTTTGAACTTTTCTTTTTTCGTAGAAATCTAAAGTTGTCGTGCACGCACTTGCTGATCGGCTAACTCTTCGGGTGTGGGGTGTGCGCGGATGTACTCGATCGCCCTTTGAATATATTCCGGCACCGGAGGTGGTGTGGGCAGCACATCCGACTGGGGTTGATAGCCATTCTCATCGGCCGAGTAAATAATTTGTACGAATTTACCTTCCGGCGAGTAGTGACGGAAATATCCTTGGGCATATTGTCCACCTACACCATCTTCTCGATGCTCAGCGCCATTCGATTGAGCGATGTCAAAACTGTAGGAGCCATCAACGTTCAATTGAGTTGCATAGCGGGTGATAGTGGAATCGGCATCTGCCTGTGCCGTGCAATATAAGCAGGCGATGGTGATGGCAAAAGGTAACAGCTGTAAAAAAAAATTAAATGAAAGTGTGAATGATAATAAGAAATTTGCATGACAAACGATGATATAAAACACAGTATTACGTGGGCATAAGAAGGCTCCTGTGCTTAGTAGTATGTATGTCTATCCGAATATTATAATAAACATCCGAGTTATAATACGACAAGCCCGTGTAGACGAGACCCTCGCAGCTCTGAAAACATTCGTGCAGTAATTGCCAGTGTAAGCAGAGAAAGACGAAGACTACACTCAGTTGAAAAGATCAGGTGAAGAAGTATCAGGCTTCATTTGGCATTTCCAATTGACGAACAGAAATCTACGTCCGTGCTGTTGTTGTTGCTTCAACATTTGTGCCTACACCAATCAAGAAAAAGTAAAGAAGAAGCTAAGTGCAAAGCTATAAAATCCTTGAATAACGTCCCATTCCAGACAAACCGGACATGCTCGGTCAGGGCGTTCAGAGCAAAATATTGCTGGCGTAGCTCAACGTGTGTTTTTCAACATCTACTCGACACAGTTCATAGGAATGAAACACTTTTTGCTCTTCTTTGCGGAGCAGTTTGTATAAATACCTGAGTATGAAAGCTTATAAGACCAATTGGCACAAGAATTGACACATAAAAAAACCGATGTGATTTTGTTTCGCTCCATCAGCTGAAGATCGCTTGACAGAGGCGAAGCATTTTTATAGAAAAAATAAAAGTTACAATGAAGCTCACTTTCACTTCGGCGCCTACGTTAAGAATCAAAACTGTCATATTTGGGGCTCACAAAACCCACTCACAAACATGGAAAAGCCAAAGCATCCTCAACGAATGACTGTTTGGTGCGGCATGTGGATCGTTTTATCCCGAAAACAAGAAGAAGTATTACCGTAGCTTGATCAGAAGTTGTAGATTTTTTTTTTCAAATGTGTAGAGATTTCAAATGTGTAGAGAATGACATGAAAGATATGTGTTTTCACTGTAACGGCTTTGTGTACACACGACCAACGTTGCAATCGTTTTTTTTTTTCTTTGTGCTGTGTTCGGTAATGGCAATGAGCAGTCGAAACGATGACGTCAACTGACCGCCTCACAGCTGCGACTGAATTCCTTTGGACTACTTTTTGTGGAGAGTCTTCCATCACAAATGGTACGCCAAACAGGAGCAAACTAGAAGAGTTCAACGGTCGGCGAATACCCTGGTTACAGGACTACTGCAATCAACTCAATTTGTAGGAAAACAAGTCAATCTTAAAAAGAGCAGGACTACACTACCTCCAGTATCTGCTTCGGCGTTCTTTTTTCCACGAGAATTCCAAACAAAAATGAAGGGAAAACTCCCTCAATCAGGCAGCCATAAATATCTTTGGAGGCGGCTCAAAGAACAGTGAAAAAGTGGGCCGTTGAATCCACTCTCGAGTGTTCTCAATAAATATAAGCTTCAGACTACCAGACCACGGCTTCGGAGAGCTTACCCTTTGTATTATTGCTGAAATCTACGAGAGCGAAAAAATTAGTTACGATATATTCCGACAGTCAAGCTGTCATCAGATCTCTACAAAAGCTGTCATCAGATCTCTAAAATGTAACAGTGCCACATCAAATTTCGCTATGAAATGTAGAAGTAATCTGAACAAACTCTCGACTAAATGCAAAAAGCGCGTGGACTGGGTAACCGGGCGAAATGACAGCCTTGTATAAATGAACTAGCCAGAAAAGAAATCATTCTACCTAAGCTTAAACTGGCCTTTACCAGCAGAATCGGCTACAACAATAATGATTTTTACCGCAGCTGTAGGGAAGAAGAAGATGAAGGGTCTACTAAATACCACCTCTGTCACTGTCCAACCTTGACATCTGCAAGGCACAAGTTTCTCGGAAAACACAGTCACGCGAAATATTTCGAACACTTGAGAAGGTTAAGATAGGAGCGTTATCGAAATGGGCCTATTCCTTGAGATAGCCACAAATTTCCCAACAGCCCTATTATTATTCACTCCAGCATAGATTGATGTTCTGAAATTCGAGCGGAATTGATCTCGCGTCAGTCTGGATTTTCAATTGCTTTGTTGCTGTAGTCATTGTTTAATTCTCATTTTCGAAACAGCAGACTATTTGTTATTGAAAAATTTGATACAAAAATTATATAAAGTGAGTTAATAACTAATGCCTGCGGTTGCCATGGAAATGGTTGAAGAAAAAAATATGGTAAAATTAAGAAGGAAAATTTTGCATGAGCACAAGGAAGGTTTGAATCTTGGCTAAGCCAACATTCAAAAACGTATATTATATTATACAAAGGGTTTTCCAATCGGGATAATATGATTACTAAGTGTCGTTTGGCCCATTTTTAATATGCTCAATGTGGCACGATATACGCAGGAGCAAATAACAATAACAACAATAACAACAACAACCTGAAAAAGATAACAATTTAACAATTTAACAATTTAACTGAAAATCAGCTTCTGCGATCACTTTCATCTGAGTGGTGCGTTAAATAACCATAACTGTCGATTCTAGTGCGAAGAAAATCCACAAATTATTCCTGACCAGAACCATTACATTCACTTGAATTGATGGTATGGTTTTTCGTCTAGTAACATCAATGGTCCGTACTTATTTCGAAATGAAGCGTGCAGCACGAGCAGTTACTGGAGAGCGATACGGATCGATGATAACCAACATTTCATGGCCTCAATTGGAAGAAATTGATCTTAACAACACCTGGTCCCAACAAGACGGCGCAACGTGTCACACAGCTCGTGCCACAACCGAATTATTGCGAGAAAGATTTGGTGATTCGATTGGTTCAAGAAATTGTAATATTAAATGGCCTCCATGAAACTGTGATTTAACACTATTAGACTATTTCTTGTGGGGTTATTTGAAGGCATTGATCTCTGGCAATTAATCAAGCTCTCTCTAAGCTTCAGAAGTCAATATTGAATATGCTATTCAAGACTTACGACTCGATTTAGTGGAAAAAATGCTCAAAAATTGGGTTCATCGAATTCATACCTGCAAAAGAAATCGTAGAGGCAATATGGATGATGTTATATTCACAACTTAACTGTATCGTTTAACAATTAACAAAATCCTATACATATATATTATAGGATTGGCACATACGGTTAGTAGGAGACTTCTGCCAAAAACTGCAGTGTGGCTGCAAGTTGGAGTGCAGGTGGGGTAGAAAGCCTATCTAAGTGGTCTTCAACGACATTCTGCACTATTACATAGGCTTCTTTGTTAAGACGATATTGGTCTATGAATCGATATACAAACAAATTTTGTAACAACAAATGCAAAAGTAGTATGCAAATTGCACTTACATCGCCTCTGCCAGCTCCAGCGGATTGTTCTTATCCCATACAATTTTGCGCTTTAGTTTCTGGATTATTTCTCTAAATCCTTCTATTATCAAAGTCACTTTATTTTTAATAATCACAAATGTGATAAAACGAGAACAAAAATTAAATTGAATTGCTGGCTTTTTTGCACAAATGTGATGACAGCTGATTCGAATATGGGTTTCACTTAACTTCGAAAAAAGCAAAATCAAGTCGGTTTCTATAACACCCCTAAATTTTTCTAACAAATGGAGGGACTTACAGTTTATTCTGAGCCGTCTCCGAAGGGCTAATGGATTCTTATTAGCAACTTTTATTTCATTACAGAAATACACGCGGCGAGCTTGACATTCTCTGTCAAGCGCCGACCGCAATTAGTTAAATTTCTATAATTTTGGAAGTTGTAAGAAACAGAACTCGAACACTGGTCTTCAGAATGGGCGGAAAAAACAAAGGAATTAAGCAAAAATTAATTGCTGCCTCCCTTCGCCAGAGAGTGTCAACTGCTCCGAGTGCGTTTCTGTTATGAAATAAGAGAAGCTCCTCATGAAAATCTTTCAGCCGTTTGAAGATGGGTTACAATAAGGCCTAGACTCAGCCAATTGTTGAAGTAACGCCAAGATTGAAATATGCCGGAATCTAATTTTTGTATCCTTACTCGTTTAAATTTCTCTTGAATTAAGCAATATTGGTTTATTATGGGCACTAAAAATTTCAGCACAAATCTTTCGATTTTATTTCTATTTTTTTTTTAATGATTTCCAATATTTTTAATATGAAATTAAATTTTATATTGATTCAAAATGTGCAGTTGCTCGAGTGTGTCACACATTTCCACATTTCACAGTTTTCTTTAATCACCCACATATGTACATATACATATGTACTCGTATGTATACTCACAATTTTGAACATTTTTTTGTGCGCACAAAAAAAAATTAAAAGTAAAAATCAAAAAATACGTCTTTTTTTAATAGCAGCAGGCGAATTTGGCTTTAACGTGTGTAAATATGTGTGGATGTATGTATTTTTTTATAGAGCAGTCATTCACTTGGATGGATGATAATCCAACTGATGCCCTTAACTTTGGCCGTATTTGTTTTTATACCCACTGAAATTGTTATTTAATGTGGTGATAAAAGCGCGAATATTGAACAATAAATTTGTAATGTACATATTTCAACGCTGCATATATTATAAAGACATACGGACGTACAAAACATATACACATGCGTATTATGCGTATTACATTTCCATCGAACTAGATATTTATCTATATTTATGGGCTTATATTGTATATACGAGTACATATATATATTTCAAAGTCAAGTGTCAGGAGCTGATGGTCAGTGGTCCATAGAAGCAAAAATATATATGTATATGTATGTATATACAAAATGTATAAAAACTATTTTTAGTGAGAAACAGTAGGTCAAAGCAAAAAACAGGATATTTACGTTTTTTATGTTTCAAAATATACGAGGGGCGGCTGATAAGTACGCGACGTAAGGCAGTTAGAGATGACACATCATTTCGTGACTGATAATACTAATTACGGCACTCATTATTAATGTAAATAAAACAAATTCGTTTTATTAGGTTCATTAAAATTTCGTTTCTGGAACAAACAACAACACTATGTCAAAGGAAATAGGAAATTCTCACGATTTGGTGCACGGCGCTCTGATTAAATTCCTTGTAAAAAAAAAAGAAATTTACAAAGACATGTTATCGGTTCCTCAAAGCTCTGTCACTTCATATGCGATGGTAAAAAAAAAAATGTGTTCGGCTATTTCAACACGAAAGAGAGACCTGTGAAGATGGCGCCCAGTGAAGGTCGTGACCGAAGAAAATGCTGAGAAAATCGGAAAATTAGTACTACCTGTTTAAAGAATTAAGTTGTGGAAGATAGCAGAAAGATTACAGATTGCCAAGGAATGAGCTGAAGAAATTTCGCCTGATCATTTGAACATGAAGAAAATTAATGTTGGTTGGGTACCGCGACAAGCAGCGGTGATTTGAAAGTTGTAATGATTTTTTGGAGTTGCGCCAAGATGACTTGGTTGAGATTTGCAACCACATTGTAACAGCTAAAGAAGCTTAGAATTTGGTCAGTATGATTCCGAGTCCAAAATAGAGTCGAGGCAATGGTTTAAAATGGATTGAAAGTGGAAAAGTCGGTATCGAAGGTTAATGGCTACAATTTTACGGGTTAACGAGGGAATATTTATTATTAATTGATTACTTGCCTAGAGGAACTACAATGAACTACGTTAATTTGTTGAGTCATGCGCGAAAGGCAGTCGCACAGAAATGTGCCAAGTTAGCACGTAGAGTGTTGTTTCTTCAAGACAGCAACAACCCTTTTTACACCGCTCGGGCTGCCTTAAAACCTACTGTATTTACAGAAATTCACCTAAT